AATGCATCAGTGGGTCAGTAGATATTGGGGACGACGAGGACGGGGACATCATAGGAGACACACGATTCACACCAATGTATGCCTACGTTCACAACTATAGTCCAGCGCTGCCTCCACCCGCATATTCCGAGGTTTCAAATCAATTATTTCTAATACTATTCATAAACTTATAAAAGTTTTGCTAACTTTGAACCAAACGCACAGATCGATCCCCACCCCAACCAACCGGACTGAATGAGTTCATTCATACAAATGGCATTTATTTGGAAATTAATAAATTGCACAAACATTTGATTGTTTTGGGAATTTATTTGTCACACGACTTTCGGTCAAACATCAGATCGATTCACTGGAGTTATGAATTATTATTCAATTTAATAATACTGTAAAGGGATGTAAATTGTATAACACAGTTGGAGATTGAACCATGTTAATGTTTTGCTTTTGAATTATGAGAAATGTTTTGCTTTTGAATTATGAGAAATGTTTTACTAAATTTCTAGAATTTAATTTATGTTTATATAATAAAATTCTAATTATTTTAAACATAGAGTACTAAAACATAATATCATATATGTGCATAGAATATATTTGATTTTTTGTTTATGAATTTCTACGATAAATAGTAAAATTATACCGTAATAAATTTATTTTCATAGGAAAGTAATATATCTAATTGTAAAAAATAATGCAATATGTCCTAATATTGATAATATTGAAAAATAAATATTTTTAATCTATTTTTACTTGTACCGGCATTTAACCTAATACATAATTTAAAATAATTTTTATTTCAATAAACAAATTAAAAAGTATTGACGTGAAGTCAATGTATACAAGTAACTTATTCGGAATATTGTATTCCTAACGATGACCTAAAGAAAGTTGTGAACAACTTATTATTAGATATTATTGACAGTGAAGCACTTAAGGCACGGACACATCCGCGTCGGACCCGATGTGGTGACAGATCCGGCATTTCTGGTGACCAGAAATCACGAGGACTTCATCTCATGGACCGATAGTTTCCGCCATAAAATCGATGAATACAACCAACGGAGGGATGACTACAA